GATAGAGTATATGGGCCTGGACCCCAAGGCCCACATACTCAACGGCCCAAAAGGCACCAACCAGGGCACCGATGCCATGCACGTCGTCCAGATGACCCGCGACGTCTAAGGAAGTAGTCATCGGGAATCGTTGTACCACGGCCAAAAGGCCGCATCGTCTTGGGACCGCGTCGTCAGAACCGCGTCGTCCGGACCGCGTCGTCCACAGACCTTAAGTAGAACACATTTTCCTGTATTATTTTACTAAGTACTGTACTCAGCCCGTTAGTGGCCCATTTAGCCCATAGAAGGCATACTTATTGAACTGGGCCTCCTAAGCCCACGGTTTAGGAGCCCAAATCCACATTTTTACCTATAAATAGATCCCAAGGGGCTAGTTATAGGGGGTTGAGAAATATAATTACTCACTTTCTCTCTCTAGCTCTCACTTCTCTCTAGAACTAATACTCTATCATTTGGTGCTCTCGTTGAGCAGCTACTTAAAACAAAAAAGGAAAAGGTACAAGGACATCAAGCTTCCTGGCCTTGGCCACCTTCAACAGCCCCACTATCGGCATCGTCCTCGACATCATCGGCGGTCTTTGACTTGGCCGAGCTCCGGAAAAGGTAGTCGTCACTCTCGGTCCAGGGCCCGTCCTCCTCGTCTGAGCTCAAAATAGGGGGTTGCCTTTCGCACAATGGGAGTTTCAACTCCTCCTCGGGGTCCTTCATCAGCCGGGGAAGGCCGATACCCCTGGGCTTCAAATTTTTCACACGACGGCGGAGACGGCGATAGACCAAGTGACCAACATTTGCATACGCCTCTGGCCGAGGTCATACCAGACTTCGAACTCCTGTTTCAGGCAAGCTCGACCGGCTTCTTCCTGCGACCACGCCTCAAAGCGCTCTGCCACGACATTATAACTCCAATCGCGCCGGGCCTCGTCCTTCCACCCTTCAGCCATGAAGAGCTCAATGGCTTTATCAGCAGCCGCAGTCGCATCGGCCTCTAGCTTTACAGCCTTTTCCTCCGCCAGCCGACGGGCAGCCGCTTCTTCATCCAACTGATCTTTGAGGTGCTTCGCCTCGGCCTCCGCAGCAACAGCTCTCTTCTCAGCCGCATCGGCCCTATCCTTCAAAGACCCGGTCTCAGCACGCAACCGTTCCAAAGAAGCGAGCGCCTCGTCCGCCGAGGCCACCCTCTTTTCGGCCTCCCGGAGGCGGGTAATCTCTTCCTCCTGCCGGCACTGCTGCTCCATCAGCATAAAAGCCCCCTGCAGAGACGAACAACTGTCAGAAGAAGAAAAGAGTACAAAAAATTACCAAGTACCAAGTCAGAAATTTACCTGGACGACGTAGTCCAGCCCACCATCAAAGAGATGCACATCCTTGCTCTGCCGACGCAGGTACTCCCTATCAGCATCGGGAATGGCCTGGAACAGGACGTCGTGCCCAGAAACCTTCTCGTTGAATAAACCGCCCTTCGGCGGATACCGCATCGTCACCTCATAAAGACCGGAGGTCAGGTCTCGGTCGGCGCGGGCCCTCTCTTTAGCAGCAGCACCGGATTTGGTGGGAACTAGGGCGGACGAGGCGACATTCAATGTAAGATCCTCGATGACTTGCGCACCAGAGGCAGCTCCCCCTTGAACCGATGCCTGCGTGTCGGCCATAGCAGCATCATGGAAGGGAGGATTCGGCTTCGTCTTCTTGGCACCTTGAGCCGCTACAAGACCCGTCTCGGCAAGAGTACGCTGGCCCTCAACGGCCTTCTTCCTCTTCACCGCTGGCCTTTTCGCCGCATTGGCTTGCGACTTGGAGCCGTCACCAGAGCCTTTGGACGCCTCGGCTTGCTGAGCAGCTGCCATCTCCTTAGCAACCAACTTTTTGGCCTGGGCCATGAACACTTTGCGACTCATCTCGTAACGTGCAAGGACGACAAAAAAAAGGGGGATTAGACACAAAGAATACGAAGTACAAAAGGATTCAAAGGAGAGTATCAACCTTCGGCCTCGGCCGGAATCCCAACGAGTGGCCCATCGGCCTGTTCAAAAGAGCCAGAGATCCTCGACCACAATCCACAATCCGGGTCGCCAGGAATGTAATACCGCATCATCCCGAGAGCTGCAATCTTAAACTCAGTGATGTACGTGTTCACACTCCTCGGGCCACCTTTCAGGAAAGCCTCAACTTGGGCGTCGAGCTCAGCGCCTCGCGGCGGATCATGCAGGTTGAACTTACCATCGTGCCCTTGCGAAGGAAAGAAGACCCCATCGGCCAGCTTCACAAAAACAAATTTCGCCTTCCACCCATGGATAGACGAAGGGAGGTCCTTAAAGGATTTCTTCCCCGAAAGTTGTTGAAGCGTAGCATAACCAGCACAGTTCTTGTGGCTTCCTCGGCCGATCCGAAATAAATTTGTAAAGAGGGCCGTCGTCGGCTGAAGACCCAGCTCGTCGCATCGGATGAGGAATCCGACGATAAGAGAGTAACAATTAGGCGTCAGCAAGGCCGGGGGGAGATCCACCAGATTCAAATACTCCACCACAAAAGGGGGCAACGGAAATCTCAGCCCCTGGGAGAAACCCATCGGATAAACTCCAAAATATCCGAGGGGAGGATCCAAGACATGATCTGTTGGCTTCGGCGCCCTCACCTTCCCATAGGGCCCTACGTACATCTGCGCCAATTGGTACTCACCCGGAGTGCTCTCCGGCCTTATAATATACAGATTTGTTAAATCCAACTGGGAAATTCCACCAGCCGCAACTTTCCTCAGACGCGGCCTGCGTTTTTTGGTAACCCTAGAAGACGACGCCCCACCTGGCACAGATGAAATTGGCGGCGGGCATGGGATAGCAGCCGAGGAGGCATCACCGGCCTCGTCCCCTTGAAGCTTGGGTTCAGAACTAGCCTCGTCCTCACCCGATTGTTGAGAACCGGCATCATCACTTAGCCTCTCCTCGTCTTGAGAAGTACGATAATCAGCCGTGTTTTCCATCTCTGTCTCGAAAGCCCGGACTATCTCAAAATTCACGCCGGGAGACGGGTCCTCGTCGTCGAAAGGCCAGTCCGACTCGTCCAAAGAAGCTGTTAAGTTAAGAGGAGAGGGGACGCTACGGCCGTCAGGGAACGGCATAACAACTATTGCTACGTCCTAAGGGCGGTTCGAGGATCAAAGTGATTTTTCCTAGAAACACTAGATCTAACCCCCTAGGAAGCAAAGTATAAAGAAAAAATGAAGAACAATTCAGGAACCTAACCTTGAAAGTTTTGAAGGTCTGAAGAACGCTTGAAGATTTCTGGGAAGCACTTTATCTCTCTAGAAATCCCAGCAGCACTTCAACTCTAGCAAAGGCAAATGAAGAAGTGGCTTCGGAATGAGGGGGTATTTATAAACATCCTCCAACGGTCACCACACGTGGCACCCACGCATTGGCCACGACAAACAGCCACCTCTCTCCAAACCAATCAGGAGGCACCCATTCAAAACCACTCATGGAAGCATCCCCTACGGCCCAACTCAAATTCAGAATAGCCAGGGCATCGGCTACGTCTCAACAACAGCACTCAAAAGCCTGCTTCGGCCTAATGACTACCAACTTCAAAACCGCCTCGGCTACACTCAAAAAGAAATTCACTCCCTTGCGCCTCAGGCTACGCTTCGGCCAAGAGAGTGGGGGACTGGGGGACTACCAGCTACAAACAGAAGTAAAAATGCAACCGCCCCGTCTCAGAGGGAAATACAAATAGCAAAACATAAAGAGTTCGCTTCGGCCACCGCATAAAGGAACCCGTGACGCTCACTCATTGAGGGTATCGCTACGCCTACCGACACGAATCGACTGCATCGTCTAACACAAAGAAAGAATGAGGAGTGGAGCGCATCGTCTTCAAGACATAAAAAATCAGACTTCAACTGATTTTGGACAAGAGGTCTCGCTTCGTCTAGCTTCGCCACAGACAAGTAAACCACTACATCCACCAACATCAATGAGCCGCATCAGCCGCGAATAGGAAGCAAAGAATGTAACGCAGCGCCCCTAGGTGACAAGGGCACGCTTCGTCTGATCTTGAACAAAAGATCACGCTTCGTCGGAGATCGGATGACAAGGGCCCGCTTCATAGGGACTCAGATAAAGCTGGCGCTTTGTCTCAGAGGACACACACTGGACACCGCTACGTCCAAACTCAATCGGCGAAAGATATCATAAAGGCCAAGAACCCCAGAGGCGCGCAACGTTGACACACATCAAAACAGGAATTGGCACCGCCACGGCCGCAAAGAAGGAACAAGATTACTCCCTTTCGCTTCGTCTGTGACTCAGCTCAGAGAGTGGGGGACTCCTGATAGAGTATATGGGCCTGGACCCCAAGGCCCACATACTCAACGGCCCAAAAGGCACCAACCAGGGCACCGATGCCATGCGCGTCGTCCAGATGACCCGCGACGTCTAAGGAAGTAGTCATCGGGAATCGTCGTACCACGGCCAAAAGGCCGCATCGTCTTGGGACCGCGTCGTCCGAACCGCGTCGTCCGGACCGCGTCGTCCACAGAACTTAAGCAGGACACATTTTCCTGTATTATTTTACTAAGTACTGTACTCAGCCCGTTAGTGGCCCATTTAGCCCATAGAAGACATACTTATTGAACTGGGCCTCCTAAGCCCACGGTTTAGGAGCCCAAATCCACATTTTTACCTATAAATAGACCCCAAGGGGCTAGTTATAGGGGGTTGAGAAATATAATTACTCACTTTCTCTCTCTAGCTCTCACTTCTCTCTAGAACTAATACTCTATCAATATTGTACGTAGTATCTTAAAACAATCATTCTTGTTGTACGGTTGTACCCACCTTTACATCCATCTTATATTCATCATGTCTGCGAAAGTTTTTTTTTGTCTGTGAATCCGGTTCAGAGAAAAACATTACCTGTGCAAAATTTGCATAAACAAAATAAGACATAGTTTGTCTATTAATGGAATTCACAAATAAAAAAACCTGTTTGTCAAAAAAATGTTGTACAAACATGATAGGTAATTGGGTATATAGGGTGGGTAGAATTATATTTTTGGGGACTGATAATCTAATTTGTACCATCTTAAAATATTGTACGTAGTAGCTTAATCCGGGCAGTGATAATCTAATTTCGCAATCAATTTCAAGTCGAATAGATAGATACGGAGTACTCTATAGTCTATTCCATTCGTCTACAATTTCCTCACTGTCCAGATTTCACACGATTTCCCCAAAAGTCCAACGAAGCTTCCATCGCTCCTACGGTAGGTATGTTCTGCTCATTATTCAACTGCATACGAATTTCAATGTATATTCCTCTTTGATTTTTTGGATACCTTTTTTCTTTGTGCAGAAGCCCTGGAATCATAAAGCATGGAAGCGACGGCTTCTCTTCGTTCTTCGGGTGCCATCTGCTGCGGATCAGGCAAGGCTGGTTTCTTTTCAGCCCATACGGCGCCAGAATTTGTTAGATTTGGATTCAGACCCCCTTTGTCTTCACCTTGCATGAAGGTGCGCTTATACCTGTTTTTCCCTGGAAGTCATTAAATTTATTTGTCAATTTTTGTGATGATAACATTTGTTACGCCATTAGAATATTGGTGAAGTTCTTTTGGGTTACTCCCTATTTATTTATCAGATGGATTATGGGAAACTTTATTGAATCTGCCTTATTTGTTTTCAGTTCTTTTGGATACTAAAATTGAAGTTCTCTACCTTCCCAACAGAGTAAACTAGTAACTTTTTGGATATTTGTAAATGTATGGGAGCAGCTTTTTGTTTGTTTTCAGTTTGAACTTTTTTTGGAAGATGATTCTTGCTAACTTCAGAATCTGTTCAGTCACACATGTTTTAGAATAGGTGGTGGTGTCAGAAGGCTCCCCTCATTGTGAGGCTATAACTTAAAAGGATGATCATTGTATGGCATATTCTATTGCATATGCAAAGAGGCTGTTCACATTCAGGCATATATGTCTTCTTTAAATTGGAGTGTTTTTGAGGTGGTGTCTTGATTTTAACTTTAATTTCTACCTAATTGGTCCCTGCTTAGCAGCTGGTAGTGAGTGCAGAATTTCAGTTTGACTTTATAGTACATGTTTAGGTTTTCAGCTTCCGACTCTATCCTCGCAACATTCTTGCACCAGCATATGCCACTTTTAGATGAAAACACATAAACACACAATTTTGCATTCATAAGGGGAACACTGTAATTCCTAGTATTTTAATAATATTATTTTTGTTGGCCAAGCAATTTCATTTATGATAAATATTGTGTTTTTTCACAACAATAATATTTATGTATAATAGATACGTGATACACAGAATGTGGGATAATTGGTGTTCATATTCTTGTTTGTTTGAGTTGTTGACCTGTTGTAGCTCTTTCCATTCAAAATTTGTTCTATAAGTTTTATCTTATTCTAATTGAATTTGATTCGTCTGTCCCAATGTATTGAAGTTTATAACCTGAAACTTACATTCAAAATACATTAAATACTTAGATATTTAGTTTAAGAAAACTTTAAGCAACCCTATTCAAAAACATAAAAATACTAGTCATTCCAAGGTGCCGTCTAGGAACCCTATGTGTTCGGTGCTCCTTTCCTGTCTGCTTGGCACTTGAGGCCGTCTATGACACTGGTTGAAAGCATGCAAGGGGTGGACAATGGGAGGGGCAGACCGGCAGAGTGCAGAGAGAAAGAGATGCTAATTACATAGGCGGTAAGTTCTACTGAAAGGAATTGTTTCTATTCATTTATGTCAAGATGGCAGTCCAGTCACTTTGTTATTGATGGAGTAGTGGAGTGAATTAAGCATCTGGCAGAAAGGCCTAAGACCGTTGGTATAGTAGTTAGTGTATCAGTCCCAGTACAAAACAACATCATAGAAAACTAGAAAAGATAGGTAACTTGTCTCCCTTAGTCATATGCTCTAACTTGACAGGCTAGGGTGACATGCCAACCCTAGAGGCCTGTGTTGGTACTTCGGGCCCCACACACTAAGCAGCTAGACTGATGCCCATGTATGAGCCCAGGGGTAGGGTTGTATACGAATCAAATAATTTATGCTTGGTTCGAGATTCAAATTCGTATAAGTCTATTCAAATTTGAAAAATTCAAATACAAATAAGAATACTAAATTTGATTCGAACTGTTATCAAATACAAATAAGAATATCAGTATATTCGATTCGAATAGTAATCAAATATATTCGATTAATAATAGTGATAATATTAATAATAGTAATTATGATAGAATTAACACTATAATATCTTTTAAAAGCGAGCTATACACTCAAAGTAACATGTGTGTAAGTGTTTATTTCAAAAACATTGAAAAAGATTTATGTTTATTAATCATAAAATCGATTCACTTTAGTATATTGTGTACAACACTACAACCTAAAATGCACCGATCCATTAAATTTTAAAGAAAAATATAATGTTACAATTTATATTCTAAAAACACATATTAAGTCATAGCACGCATTTATAACATGAAAACATAAGGAAATGTGTTTTAAAGTGATATTTGACTAATATTTAACTTATGGTCAAATTGATTCGATATTCGTATATGATTCGTTAGTTATTCACTTATTCGTATTGTTAAACAAATATGAATACAAATCAAAATTAGTATTCGTTCCATACTCAAATTCGGATTCGTATTCAAAAAAATTAAACAAATACAAATACAAAATCACATTATTCAACTCGATTCAGTTCGTTTACAACCCCACCCAGGGATGATCTCAGTGGGGGCTCTATAGTCTAGATATACCATCAATTACTGTTATTTTGCTTTTCTTTGCTTTATACTCCACGATATCAATGGCATCGATGGCAAATCTTTAATTTGTATTTCTGTTTCAACCATGCACACAGACTCAGGGAAGCTCTTGAGTCATTTATCATCTACTTAACTGCAGAAGTGCTGATTGTAATGTCTTTGTTCAATAACACATATGCTGAATAGGCACTCTTACGGGAAAGAAGAGTACTATTGACTGCCTCATTTATAGGATGGAACCTAATTATCTCATAGTAGTAATAATAATAGTAGTAACAAAAGAAGCATCTGTAAACTAATGTGTGCATCTCTTTCTAAGAATTATCTCTTTCTACTCTTATGAGCTGTGTCTCATTGCCGATGCTGTGGTATGATGTATGTTGTACTGTGTTTGTTGTCATCACTGCTCATACTAAAACCCACTCTCATTGGATTATTAATAATTTAGACAAAACCCTTCTTCATCAATTAGTGGTCTGTAGTTTGTTCCAACTCGCTCCTTAGATCTGCAAGTCCTCTTGTTCTTAAATGGTGGTGATCTTATTTAATATTCTTGGATGGCAGTTGTACCCCTTTGATTTTCATCTGAAGTCTGGAAACCAGAGAGTGGCATATAAGAGTGGAAGATACAATTCAATTAGAGCATCATTACCACCTTCCAGATCTGGAGATTCAACTGTTCCTATTGCTCCACTTCAATTTGAATCTCCAGTTGGACAGTTTCTCTCTCAGGTTATCATAAATCATCCACATCTTGTCCCTGCTGCAGTGGATCAGCAACTTCAACAGCTTATGATTGCTCAGGATGCACACAAGGATGAACCATCAGTGTCGGGAACTGAACTAGTTTTGTACAGGTAGTGTTTGAAAGTTAGATGCATTCCATTCTCACATCTTTTCCTAGGTTTCTAGGTACAGAGGAACTCTGAGGAAGTATGGCCTTTTGGGCTCTACTATGAGAAATGTTTTCTTTTTTGTAAAGTAGCTCAGAATTAAGACTCACGTGTCAATGGTGTTTTTTCTGCTATTTAATTAGTGGGGAAATTGGAGTTTGCACTCCAATCCATTTCATTCATTCATTTTCATTTACCCAGTGCCGCAAAGGCTCCCACCTACGGTGGGGTAAGGGGGGAGGGGGTCGGATGTATGCAGTCTTACCCGTGCACTAAAACACAGAGAGACTGTTTCCGGATGACCCATGGTGAAAATCGCGTCCAAAATTTGGGCTCTATTTTTTATTCTGATTAGTGTTTTTAAAATTTAGTTGAGATTTTCATCAAGAGTCATCCGGAAACAGTCTCTCCGTGCTTTAGTACAGGTGTAAGACTGCGTACATCCGACCCCCCTTACCCCACCATAGGTGGGGAGCCTTTGCGGCACTGGGGTAATGTTGAAGTTATAGTAGTGTTTTTAAAATTTAGTTGAGATTTTTAAGATCCACATTTCAATGGTGTTCTGTTTTTGTTTTTAATATGAAATAATTATCATTTTGAGAATTCCATGGCATTCTAACTTCCAGGTAGAGAGGAAGTATGGCCTGTTGGACCCTCTCTTTGTTTGTCAATGTTCTCAAAAACATTTTAAAATGTACTTTCTAAAAACATCATTGAGGTGTGGAGTTTAATTCTAATTTCACATCAAAAACCTTAATGGTGTTTTTCCCTCATTAATAAATTCTTATTTAAAATTATTATTATTGTTATTATTATTAGGAGAATTGCAGAGGTCAAGGCAAAGGAGAGGAGGAAAGCACTTGAAGAGATACTGTATGCAATGGTGGTGCAGAAATTCATGGATGGTGGTGTACCATTGATTCCGGCCATAAATTTGCAATCATCACCAGATTCTTCCCCTGCTCGGGTTGTTGATGCGTGGTCTATAAAAAATCAGCAGCTTTTACACCTTCATTCGCCCGATGCTTATGAGATGATTCAGAACCATCTAGCTCTCATCCTTGGGGACAAATTGGGTGATAATAATGCCTCTGCAATTCAAATAAATAAATTTAGAGTCGGTCAGGTTTACGCCGCATCTGTTATGTATGGCTACTTCCTGAAAAGGGTTGTCCAGAGATTTCAGTTGGAAAAGACTGTGAAGATCCTTCCCCAGAGAGGTGTAGGCAGAAGAGAGGCTAGTGGCAATCTGCAAGCTCCAGAGGAAGAAGTGCTCAGATCTGGTAATGATGAAAACAATGATGATAATGATGTTTCATTTAGCTCAACAGAATCATCATCTCATCCTGAAGTCAATAAAGCATTCTTTTCATCTGGATTTAATGCCTCGAGGTTGAAATCCTATGTGATGTCACTAGATGCGGAGATTCTCCAGGCATACGCAAGCATTAGGTCCAAAGAAGCCATACAAATAATTGAGAAACACACTGAAGCACTGTTTGGTAGACCTGAGGTTGCTATTACGCGTCAGGGAACCATAGATTTTTCTAAAGAAGAAATGGTCATGATTAGGTTCAGTGGTCTGAAGAGGCTTATTTTGGAGGCACTGACTTTTGGGTCTTTCCTTTGGGATGTCGAGAGCTATGTTGATTTAAGGTATCATTTTGTTACCCACCACTGATATAGATTGATCATACTTAGGTCACATTACTTGACAGTGATTACTGTTTTTATTTGCGCGCATGCTTTTATCGCATAGGTGAACTGCAACTTTATTTCTGTGTTTCCCGACCTTTGATTGTCATCAATGCAAAATTACATGGATGAACGATGAGCACGAATATGCTTACATCGATGTAACCTTGTCTGCTTTTGAGCTCCAATTTTGTTGACTACTTACAAAAACAGGATTTCACTTCACCAAACTATCGATAAATTTAACGCATACACGAAAAGTATTGAGTTCAACTTGCCTTATGTGCTGCTTAGGCAATATCTGCAATGAGATGTGGTTAGCTGTTTCTTGTTGGATTTGTTTTACTGGGAGTGTTTGCGCTTATAGCTTCACAACTACAAATTTACTGCCACAAACCAATTTTTCATTTCAATGCTCAAAAAGTCGAAAGTAGGCAAAACACATGCTAAATTGAAATAACGTTTCAATGTTTTTGCAAACCTTAAAACCGCCATGCACCATAGATTGTAAATGAATTCATCATAATTTTCTGCAAATATAATTTGATCATAAAAGATTGGACCAAGTTCTTAGCATTTTCTTTAATCGGTTTATTGATATAGACATTCAATTTTAATACAAAACAATATCTTTACTAGTATACCTCGTTCACCCAGTCAAAGCTTATCTATCGAGAGCACAATCAATCCTCTTCAACAGGTTGTAATGCAATATCATGTCAAACCCGCTTATCAGATATGGATGTTTTCATTACTTGCCGATCAAGGACGGTTTACTGGTTTGAGAGATCCAATTTTGTGAAAATTTAAGGATGATTTTATTGGATCTGTTTTAATCTCAAACCAAATCATATCAAAGTTAAATAACAGTAAGATGTATAAAGTATAAACACTGGATGTCTATACATCTAGATTAGATTTAAACAAAGTATACTATTCATCTATATAAAATGCCATTTAAAAACATCCTAACTTGAGACAAACTCTTGGGCCCTGGTTAATTAATAAATTTGCTGGACTAAAACGATTTTGATTTAACTAAGGTCCTTCATATTTTCAAAAAAAAAAAACTAAGGTCCTTCATACGTTACTGTTAATCGTGTCTATGATAAAGAATGTCTTTATTTGTCTGTATAACAACTTATTTAGGCACGTGTTTAATTCAATCATGTTACCTTTGCTAGTCAATTTGCTTATATTTTAATAAATAATTAGACACCACTTCAACAAACTGCTTCCCCATCTCGTGACTCTCAAGTCTCAAGTCTCAAGTCTTTATATCTGTTCCAATATAACGATATTTAATTTTACAAAAACCATTAGGACCATTAAGTTGGTTTCCCTCAATATTCTAATGATATTTTTACTTGGATTTAGTTCAGTCTCGGTCGAAAAAGTTGTAGAAATCCGCAGCCGGAAACTTTTGCAACTGGTCACCACCAGTCCACCACCAAATCTATAAATCAATTCAATGTATTTCTATCAAATTTGTAGTCAATAGCTTTCTCTATGTGTATTTTGGATTGAAATTACTATATGTTGTCTGAATTGAAGACTTAACATGATTCCTAATTCAGAAATAAAGTACATGTGATTTTATTTTGGCTAAAGGGTCAAATAGGTCCTTGAACTGACCTAAAGTATTCAATTTAGAAGATAACTGCGAAGTTAAATAGCGCAGTACGGACGGACAGAACCTCCTATATAAGGGGCTAATTGAACAATTCAAGTCCGTTCAAGGGCCTATTTGACCCTTTAGCCTTTTATTTTAAGAAACTTTCGTGTTTTAACCTTTTATAAATGGAGTAGTTTTCAATTATTTGTCACACAAAAAAAACACTTCTTAATAACAAAAGTAAATTAAATAGAATAATAAAAACCAAGATAAAATACATGTTACTTATTTAATCAATTTCTTCACACATTACCAAAACATAGCATAAATATAAGGAATTGAAATAGAGAATCATGACACAAGTTGCTAAAACATTATTGGAATCATAAAAATGACGGAATGAGGAGATGTTGCATTATTTAAATCGCAACTAATTGTTGAATGTTGATGGGATAAGCAAAAACTCTGGAAGTTGAACTGTAGGCCTTCTGGGCTAGGAGAATATTTGCAACTTCTGTGGGATGAAAAGCATCCCAAAAGATGTACTTTGATCTATCATCACAAGGTAGTTGAAGAGGAAGACATGTTATTTGGCCATTGTTCCTCCCCACCCCACAACATCCTTTATCCACCACTTCAAATCCTGTTTCATTTACATGAACATGATTCATTAATATTGTATTATCAAGCCCTCAAACAACTCCACCAGTACAATACATATGGATGGAGTATAAGAGACATTTTCTTCTAAAAATAGTTCCAATCAAAATCAGAGAGGTAATTATGTATTCTAAAATATTTTTTACAATATTTTAGAATGTATATGATTTGGTTGCAACTTATTAGTACATACCATATCTTTTTGCATTGACAACAAGGTCCTTGGTGCTTGCAAATGAATCCAAGTAAACAAACTTGGATCCAGGCAAATAGCCTTTATTGTACTTATCTACAAGCCTCTTGAGCCCAGAGTTGAACATGGAAATGGCATTGTTAATTTCTTCATTGCATTTGTTAATTCCATTCCCATTGTACCTTGCTAGCTCATATGGTATGCATCCGATTTGTCCAATAGAAGTTACGACTATCTTTCGAGCCCCATATGAATATAGCTCCTGCATGTACCGTGAGACTCAAACAAATAAATATGTGCATGTGTCGGGTGTGCATAAAAGTTGAGAAAGAAATTGTCCTGAATAAGAGTAAAAACGTTGATGCATTTCAAAATCGGACTATATTTTTATTTACTAAATAAGAATAATTATTCTCATTTATCCAACAGGCTGACTCCCCAACCCCAAGGCCTCCCCACACCCTGACCCGACAAAGCATTTGAGAGGTTGTAAATCACGGTGACTCAACCAATCATAACGGTGGTAGATCTTATACCCGTGAGCACCAGAGGCCCAACCCAGCACATAGGAGCTGTGACCTCCACACGGTCGCTTCGAGTTTCGATCTTTGGTCATTTGTCCAACTTTATCACCGCTTTACCAGTTGAGCTACCCGTGTAGATGGAGTGGTTATTGTCTTGTTTTGACATTACCTAGATTTAAACATGACAACATTTTCCAAGTTAATTATCCCTAATTACTCGTGTTTAGGAAATGAAAACGTAATACTCCTATTTTTTAATCTCAAAACGTTTTTACTTCTATTTCAGGATCTTCACTAAGTAATGTGGGTGATACAGACCGTTAATTGTCGTGAATAGTCATTGAGAAGGGATGCAGCATAAGCTTGAGGAGTGAACTCAGAATGAGTTGAATAGAAATCAGTCATGAAATAGTTGTTGAGGTAGTCATTACTTCCCATTCCGGAGTAGAAAATGCATTTGCTTAGATGGTCATGAAGTAGTGTGTAGTTATTATCTCCTCTGAAAAATCTCTTCATCCCCAGTACTGTTCTTGCGAAGTTCTCTACTTGTTGGTTCATTGCTATATGATATCCCTATACAATCAATTACATATATACACAAATAAGAATGAGTTTCTTGCTTGTACGTACTAGAACTAGTTGAGAAGTTGAAAAGCCTCACTGCACTCAATATAATCCATGACAATTTTAAGTATTTTAAATTGGAGAATCTTATGTAAAAGTTGGAGAATCTTAAATTACTTTTTAAATATGTAAACTATAATCATTAGTATTTAGGTATTAATGTTGAATTATTTCTCTCGGTTTAAATAAAAATGAAATTTTAAAATAATATTTAAGATTATCTAGGTAACTTTAGTGGTGAATCTTGGACATTAATTTTTAAGGTTAACATTTATTTTAAAAGTTTTGGATGTTCATATGCGTATATAAATTTTAAACCTAGCACTCATATACATGTATTTTTACACTACTAGTTACGAAGTAAAATTTTTGTGTGTTCACATAAACATTTGTGAACAACTATAAGTCCGCCCTGTAGGTGATACTTCTCATATTATATTCTTTTGTGATAAAGCTTGAAGGTCTTTTTTCATGAATCTTACTAAACTAAATTCAAAAGACAAAATATGACAAACTTAAAAAAAATTCCAAAAAGTGACATATTTAGTGACTAGTTTACAGTGACCAATCATCTACCATGACTTGTCATTCTAAAATGCACTATAGTGACTAGTTCATAGTATTTGTACACATTGACTTGTCATATTTTTGTCCAAAACATAACCAGTCATATTTTTGTCCGGGAAAACTCTATTAGTACTATACATGACATTTTGTAAAGAGAATTTTTTACAAAAATATAACGTAGTACTAAAATAAAAGTTATTTACACAAATATGACTAATGTATAGTTACTACAATGTAGTGTACTAGAGTCGTGGTAATTTAAATTTAAAAATTGAACACAAACTACTATGATTCCATTACTACTCTAGTCACCAGTCACATTTCTGTAGTCATAAATATGTCATTATTAAATATCTTAAATTAATTAGTGTTTTGTTAATTTGTTATCGTGATTTTTTTGTTATATGTAAAATTAAAATACACAAACTTCGTATTAATAAGCTAAGGAATTGTGTGATTTGTGGTACCAAATTATTTCCAGTTTCATCTCGAATTCCTGCAGCGCCAGAAGCAAAATTAACGCCTCGAATAAATTCCCGCCGTTGTGCTCTTGAGAAAGCTGGAATGTAATTTTCAAACCCTAGCAGTTGAGCTGCACAAACATGCAACAAATATAAAATGAGCAGGCTAGCTAGGCTTTCAGTTTTTCATAACTAACGAATTTGTCCCGTAACTTTTGGTTGTAATCGAATTTATTTTCGCAATTTTATTTACTTGCAGGTTTGATCATGTAAGTAATAAATTTATTCATATTAATAACTCACTTCCTAGAAAGGCAGAAAGTATATTTTTCCCGGGAAAAAATGACCGTAAGATTCTTCATCGATGTCATCTTATCCGTATAAAAAAGTACATTCCGATGAAAACGTTCTTAATGTGAAAACATTTATTAATTACTCAACAAATCTGCAAGTGTGCCAAAATATACATATAAGACACAGTTATCTTTCAAAAATCATCCGATTGTCTTTTGAATTGAGTTTTTTTGCTCAAATTTGGTGAAAGTCATCTTCACTTCATTGGATACCAAATTTCACTCAAAAATATCATCGAGAACCACCTCAAAATGAGTGGCCGGACACGGATCTGGTCAGAAAATTCCTAAGCTACCAGAATATTCGTGTATGTATAGTATACCTAGAATATCAACGAAAGTACGGCCATTAGTGAAGCGGCCCGTAGAACCGTCGGGAAAGTCAACACCATAAGGCAAGTAGTTTGACCTTGCCAGAGTGAGGAGGCCATTGTTGTTACCGCTGTCAACCAGTGAGTCCCCAAATATGAAAAAGCACGGCGGCGGCGCCGTCACTTGTGGCGGTGGCCGGCGTTGATGAGACCAAGCGGAGACGCCCACTGTATTAGTAGCAGCGCACCACAAGAAGAACGGCACCCATAATGATTTCGCCCAATTCTCCATATTTAACGGCGTATGCATCGAAAATATATAAAAGATTAACTAATTAACTAAAATTAAAGTAATTAGTGCACATATTAATCGAGAATATAATTCCACGTTTCTTTTATAATGCAAAACTTGGGGAGTGAGTACGTAGTAATTATGGAGTTCATGTGCATATATATGTCCAACCAGCTAGCTTACATACGGAGTATATATATCAATAATTGGTTGTCCGTGAAATTGGGGTTGTGGTTTTAATTGGGTTCGATATACCTTTCGGTTGGCTATTCGATATTATACGCAAGTTGGTTAGGTGCGTTATGGCGCAAGTATTATTTAGCGGTGACATACCGCATGCAAGCGCATCACGTGAACCTTCGAGTGTGACGTGTCTCTATATGTCCCGAACACGTATACCGTACACGCGGTTGTACGGTGCTTACCGTACAACCATATATTTTATCTTATAGTACCTGATAAGAAAAACGTTAAAGGAAATGAGCATTAGTAATTCACTGTTTTCGTAACATAATTGAGTATATAAGTATGCAATATAATATACTCCGTATGAAGTACGAAGTATATGATATACACATGATATGTATGCTACAAATCAATTTATTTATTTAACTATATTATCATTGTATTGTCATACAAAATATTTAATTAAGCTAATTTTATAATTGAACAATAATGCTCATTTCATTTAAACTACATACTTATTAAATACTTTAATTTGTACGATAGTATAAACTAAAATATCCGATTGCACCATATAATTTGCGCATATATCCCATCATTCTAAAGTAAATATCTATGTCATTACAGCCCAACTGGTTGTGAGGCTACCATGCCTAGTGAGAGGTCTCAAGTTCAAAACCCGCAAGACACACAAGCATTTGAAACTCAAGTGAGTTTCAGGCCTGATTACTCCAGGCTCCCCCAGCCCCCCTCCCCCAGACCTCCCTGGAGTAAAAAAAAAGAAAGAAAAAATATATAGGTAATTAAAGTGTGTACTTGTCAATTTTCACATTCCCATTTCTATTGTCGGCCGGTGATCCCAAATTACATGGGTTTAGTGCGCCAAGTCCCATCGTGGTATAGAAATTCAGCGCATTAGCCCCATGTGATTTGAAAAATGCGTCAAATTCCCTTGTGTTTTAATTAATCATGCACAAAATCCTTTTTATGAATAAATTTAACGATTTGGAAATCACTTTTCCTAATATTCTGATTGAATATGCAAGTAAATATTTCAAAATCTCTAAATCATACATAAATGTTAATCATTTTTTTTTTAATTTGACAATTGGATTTGTTCATAGAAGGGATTTTGTCAACTTTCATGGTACGTTAAATGTGCTATGTCAAATTAAAGTTGCAGTTCACTACTCACAGTTCAACCCAGTCCACTTTTGATCTATAATTCTAAGCATCAAAATTTTACGGAGTATTGTTTTTAAGTTCAAATTTTGCTATTTTTATAGAACTTTTAGTATAGTTTAGAGCATCTGTAGTGGAATATGGACTGCTTGAAAATGCATGGCCACATCACACTTGCTTAAAATTATGCTCTCCAGCGAAAATATGGATTTTGGCCGTCGTGGTGACTTGGAATGGAAAAACGAAGATACCGTCTGCCTTCCCTTCTATTTCAGCAAGGCTTCCCAACAAATCTCCAATATAATAATTGTTTACGGAAAACATTTACTCGGTATATTGATCCGGAGTGCTTGCCTGCTTGAGTATCCTCCCAGAACGGCAGCGCTCCTTTGGACCTTCGGTCCTTCCCTTCAAGCAACACAAAACCCGGCCAGCTATTCTCCGCGGACCTCTTGTGTTACGGCGGAGGTGGCAGAGCGAGCATGCCCTTTATTCTCCGGCGACTTCTTCTCCTGCTCGTTTTTTCCGGCGAGTAGTCTACAAAACTAGGTGAGTTTATCCCTTTTTTTTTTAAATTCTTCTCCGGCGGCTTCTTCTCCGGCAACATTCTTCTCCGGCTCATTATTTTCTGGCGAAAAGTACACAGAACTAAATGAGTTTGTTTATGTTTTTTTTTTTTTTTAATTATTCTCCCGTGACTTCTTCTCCCGCAACCTATGGACGACTTGTAATTTATAAATTGTGACACCGCGGCAGTACTCCATAGGGATAAAGGCCAAAAATGACACTAAGTTATTTAAAAAACTCATATTGGACACTAAGCTTTGAAGTAGACCAAATTAACACAAACTTTAAGTTTTTGCATCATATTTGGACATTGGTGGCTTTCCCCCGTCAATTATGAGGTTACTGTCCATCTTTGCCCAAAACCTAAAGAACTCCGGCTCCCATTTCTTTTGGCTGAATGCAAAAATGCGTCACACCCCACATATAGGGCCAACTCTTGGAAATCCAAACCAGACACATATACATCCTCCCTCATCGCCCAACAGCCTGTTTTGACTCCAGCGAACCTGCAAAATTCATCACTTATTTCCCCCTTCACACAAAACCATGTTCTGGCTCCGGCAGATCTATGAGACTCACCACTTGCACTCAGAATTTGAAATAGCAATGCAAACAATGGCAGGGGATGGAGGAATTGACCGTCCACACTCCTTGTTTGTGAATAATTTCCATTTCGTCGGCCTAGATTGGGGTGTTACTCCTTCTTCGGGTAATTTTCCCAGCTCATTCTAGTTTGATACAATAATATGTGAAACCGGTGGTCAAGCTAGCTATGGTTTTCCTTGATTTGGAGGAAAATAAAGATATGATTGGATTGAATATTGCTTATTATAAGTGAATTTGGATTGATTGGACTGAATATGGCTTTGTAAGAACGAAAAAGAAATAGAAAAGTGGACAGTCCAGAGTGTAGTGGGGCAGGGGAATCAATTTGGGTAGCACTAATAGCTTCTTCCCAGAATTGGATGCCGATGCACTTATTGTCTTGGACTCTGGCAAGTGAAGGCCAGTTTTTCCACGAAGGTGGAAGAAGGGTCAGGGTAGACCCTTGGAGGGCTGGATGAGGACGGGATAAGAATGAAGATACAGGACGGAGGAAAGTGAATGTCTGGAGACAGGCTAAATGAGCAGAAGAGACGGTGGTGGAGAAGTGAACTGGAGAAGCTACGATCGGAGTCCGCTAGTGCAGTCGGCCAACCTGGCGAAGAAATTTACAGTGGGGCGGGGGCTATTAACGATTTAACGTTGTTGGGCTTAACGGAAATATAAGTGGGTGTCCAAATATAACCCAAATAAGTTGATTATGTTATAATATGGAAGGAAATAAGCAGAAGATCAGGGAGAGAAAGTATAGTCTGAATACTTAGTGAGAAAGATGTTATTAGAAGTGTGATAATGGTGTAACCATGGTGTGTTAATTACAATGGAGAAGCCTCCTATTTATAGGAGAAAAGTTAAGCTTCATAGGATTAGAGGATAATTGTGAACCACACAATTATCATCTAGAATCATAATTATGATTTCCTGATTATTTATATAATGGTGATAATAATTCCTAATCAGGAATAGTTGGAAGATGACTAATTCAATTATATTTCAACACTCCCCCTTGAATGGTCATCTTCTAATTATTCTGGGGTATTAGATTCATAGTATTATAATGTACTGTCTCGTTAAAAACCTTTGTCAAGAAAAACCCAGTGGGATAAAAAACCTGACGAAGGGAAAAAGAGTGCAGTGCATTATATTACTCCCCCTCAATTTAACATATATCTCGAAGACGATATATTCCAATTTTATGGACCAGTTCTTCAAATATCTTCGGTGCCAATGACTTTGTGAACAAATCAGCAGGGTTGTCGCATGACTTGATTTGTTTGACATCAACCGTTCCGTCTTTCTCAAGATCATGTGTGGAGAAAAGTTTTGGTGCTATATGCTTTGTTCTGTCCCCTTTGATGTAACCCCCTTTGATCTGAGCTATACATGATGTATTATCTTCATAAATCACAGTAGGATTAGAAGTAAAAGATTTTATACCGCATTCATTTTGTATGTGCTGGATCATTGATCTCAACCAGACACACTCACGACCTGCTTCATAAAGAGCAATTAATTCTGCATGATTTGATGATGTTGCAGTTAATGTTTGCTTCATTGATCTCCATGATATAGCGGTATCACCATAGGTGAATAAATATCCTGTTTGTGATTTTGCCTTTTGTGGATCAGACAAGTATCCTGCATCCGCGTAGCCAATTAAAGTGGCATTTGCACCATTCTTGAAATACAATCCAAGATCGATTGTACCATTGAGATATCGGAATATATGTTTGACACCATTCCAATGCCTTCTTGTTGGGGAAGAACTGTACCTGGCTAATAAATTTACAGAAAAAGCAATATCTGGTCGAGTATTATTAGCCAAATACATTAATGCTCCAATAGCACTCAAATATGGTATTTCGGGACCAAGGATTTCTTCATCATCTTCACAAGGTCGGAAAGGATCATCATGCACATTGAGAGATCGAACCACCATTGGAGAATTGAGCGGATGTGCTTTATCCATGTAAAATCGCTTCAAAAGTTTCTCGGTATAATTTGATTGGTGGATGAAAATACCATTTCTCAAATGTTCAATTTGAATGCCGAGACAAAATTTTGTTCTCCCAAGGTCTTTCATTTCAAATTCTTTCATGAGATATTTTGCAGTATTTTCAATTTCATTAGGAGTTCCGATTATATTCAAATCATCAACATATACTGCAATTATGGCGAATCCTGATTCGGATCGTTGAATGAAAACACATGGACTAATAGGATCATTTTTATACCCTTCTTTAATCAAATATTCACTGAGACGGTTATACCACATGCGTCCAGATTGTTTTAATCCATATAATGACTTTTGCAATTTTATGGAAAATAAATCTCGAGATTTCGAGCTATAAGCATCAGGTATTTTAAAGCCTCCAGGAATTCTCATATATATGTCTGTATCGAGTGAACCGTATAAATATGCGGTCACCACATCCATTAGGCGCATTTGCAGCCTTTCAAAAACAGACATGCCAATTAAAAATCTTAAAGTTGTAGCATCAACTACTGGAGAATACGTCTCATCATAATCGATTCCTGGCATTTGAGAAAAACCTTGGGCAACAAGTCGGGCTTTGTATCTAACGATTTCATTTTTCTCGTTGCGTTTACGCACAAAAACCCATTTAAAACCGACTGGTTTTACGCCTTTTGGCGTATGGACAATTGGTCCAAAAACATTACGCTTTTCTAGCGATTTTAATTCTACCTGAATTGCTTCATTCCATTTTGGCCAATCATTTCTACGAGGACATTCGTCAATAGATTTAGGCTCATTGTCATCGTGTTCATTCATTATATCTGTGGCGATGGCATATGAAAATATATCATTAACATCAATATCATTTCTATTCCATTGTATTCCATTAGAAACGTAATTAATTGAAATTTCAAAATTATCGACGTTTCTATCTTTATCTGGAATATTTACCTCTTCGAAGGTGATTGGATCCTCTTTTGAGGTATCATTATTGTTGATGTTATCTTCAAGGCCGATATTTTCAAAATGTTCATTTTCTTCTTGAGAAGGTTGAACTTCTTTGGCATCACAAACTACAACTTGCTGTTTAAATTTTCTTGGTTTCAAATCTCTTGAACCAAGTGGTCTACCACGTTTTTTACGTGCCATAGATTCATTAGCAAGTGTTCTTTCGCTAATCTCCGCAGGAATTTCTATTCGAGAAGGAGCATTCATAGCTGGAACATGTGACTTTGTCACTTTCTTTGAGTCTGTGAAAGCATCAGGCAATTGGTTTGCAACATTTTGTAAATGAATAATCTTTTGAATTTCTTGTTCACAAGCATTTGTGCGAGAATCAAGAAAAGATAAATTTGTTGCATTCCAAGTAATATCTTTCGTACGTGGGTCCATTTCTTTAATATCTCCCCCTAAGGCTGGGAATACTGTCTCATCAAAATGACAGTCATCGAACCGCGCGGTGAATAAGTCACCGGTCATAGGTTCTAGATAATTAATAATTGAGGGTGATTTAAAACCAACATAAATTCCCAGCCTTCTTTGAGGACCCATTTTAGTACGATAAGGTGGAGCAATTGGTACATACACAGAACAACCAAATATTTTTAGGTGTGATATATTTGGTTCTTTACCAGATATTAATTGTAATGGGGAAAATTTATGATATGCCGTTGGCCTAAGCCGAATTAAATTTGCAGCATGCATTATAGCATATCCCCATGCAGATGATGGTAATCTGGATTTCATCAATAATGGTCTAGCAATTAATTGTAATCGCTTAATTAAGGATTCAGCAAGACCATTTTGTGTGTGTACATGTGGAACTGGATGTTCCACATCAATCCCAATTGACATGCAATAGTCATTAAAAGATTGGGATGTAAATTCTCCTGCATTATCAAGTCGGATTTTCTTTATCGAATAATCCGGAAATTGTGATCTCAAACGAATAATTTGAGCAAGGAGATTTGCAAATGCAAAATTTCTAGTCGATAAAAGACTGACATGTGACCAACGTGTTGATGCATCAATGAGCACCATAAAATATCGAAACGGTCCACACGGAGGGGTAATTGGCCCACAAATATCTCCTTGAATTCTTTCTAAAAATGCAGGAGATTCAACTCCAATTTTGTATAAAGATGGCCTGATAATTAATTTGCCAAGAGAACAGGCAGTGCACGGAAAATCACTTGATTGTGGAATCTTGACATTAGTTAATGAATGTCCACGTGAATTTTCAATAATTTTGTGCATCATAGTGCTGCCTGGATGACCTAAACGGTCATGCCACAAGATAAAGGAATTGTGGTCATAAATTTTAGATACCACATTTATCTCAATTGGACTGATATATGTATAATACAGTCCTGAGGAATATGCTGGCATTTTTTCAGAAATGTATTTATTGCCAGATCTATTTGTCGTTAGACATAAATATTCCTTCTGATTTTCAGACATGGTTTCAATATGAAAACCATTCAGACGCAAATCTTTAAAGCTCAAAAGATTTCTCCGTGATTTACTGGAGTATAAAGCGTCTTTAATTATTAATTTTGTCCCTTTTGGGAGAATCACACAGGCTATTCCAGAACCTTCAATGAGTTTAGCAACACCTGAGATTGTATTGACATTAGCATCAACTAATGTCATATGAGAAAAATAATCTCTATGTCTCAAAATGGTGTGCGTTGTGGCACTGTCTATTAGACATTGTTCAGAGCCACTTGGAGAAATTTTAGTTAACTCCATATCTTCGAAAAGATAAAAATGAACAAATATTAGTTCAATACTGTAATATAAACAAGGCTTTATTCATTAAAATGTACATAACATTTACAATCGAAATAAGCACACCAAATAAAAATTACAATACAAACAAACTTTTATTGTAGAATATATTACATAACAGAATTATTTCAAATTCCTTTTTATTTACTTATTTATTATTTTTCACCCATAATGATGTCGGTGTTCATCTCATTATCGTCCATATAGAAATCAGACACATTTAATGTGGGCATTGGTGGATCATTTTCGTTGACGTAATTAGTTTCCACATTCTTTCCTTTTAGAGATGATTTATATAAATCAATCAAGTGTCTAGGTGTACGACACTTATTTGCCCAATGTCCCGACGTGCCACACTTAAAGCAAGTGACTTTGGCCTTTTCTGAAGATTTCGTCGGGCTCTTTGTTTGATGGCGGTTTTGCTTACCCTTGCCTTTGTAAAGTGAGCTACTACTCTGTTTGTTTCCCCGGCTAGGTCTATTATAACGACCAATACCACGACCACGTTTGAAATGTCCACGAGCACCACTATGGGTTGCATTTGATTCATGTTTTGAACCATGATTTGGTGGACCAAAACTGACCGGGCTACAACCCGTGGGTCTCATATTGTGGTTTCTTATCAAAATGTCGATATTCGTCTCAGCAAATAGTAATACTGATATTAAATCAGAATACTTTTGAAAATGCTTTTGTCTATATTGCTCTTGTAAAAGAGCATTTGAAACATGCATATTGGACAAAGTTTTCTCCAACATTTCAGCATCAGTGACTTTTTGTCCGCATAACTTTAGTTTTGATGTTATTTGGAACAAAGCAGAATTGTAGTCACTCACAGATTTGTAATCCTGGAATCGTAAATTGATCCAGTCATATTGAGCTTTTGGTAAAAGGACCTTTTGTTGATGGCCATACCTTTCTTGGAGATTATCCCATAATTCTTTAGGGTCATCTACCAATAAATACTCAGATTTCAAACTTTCATGAAGATGATGACGAAGAAAGATGATGGCTTTTGCCTTATTTTGGGGAGTGGCTGAATTATTTTCAGCAATTGTATTTTCAAGGGCATTTGCTTTCAAATGTGCCAAAGCGTCGACTTTCCATTCCAAATACTTTTGGCCAGATAAATCAAGGACGTCGAACTCTCTTTTGCTAATATGTGCCATTAAACTACATAAATTATGAATTTAAGTTTAATTAGTAAGAGTAAATATATATACTAGTATTCTATAGATTGATACGTGTATATTCAATTTTTTTTTTTATAGTACGTGATTTGTATTCAAAAGTAAAGTAAAAACTTCAAAGTTAAACTCCCAGTTCAGTTTCATCTAGGCATGATCATATGCAATACAGAGTAGGTTATTATACATATAAATGGGAATTACTGGGAGATATGTGATTGCTATTTTTGCCGAGAGACATGTTGGAGGTGACAAAAAGAAAATAATTGACTTCCCTACACGTTTAGAGGTGCATAAGTGCATTTATTGTTATTGTCTTGTTATAAATAAATAATACCGACTTCTGATACGTAGTAAATAATTTGGAAGAGCTTGGAACAGCCCATGATACTTTTGGATCCACAGATCCACTCCTCGTGAATAAGAATCACGTAATACGTAGTATAAGTCAATACATTTAACATTAATCTGGGAAAAAAAATGTGGTTCCCATGAAAAAAATATGGGTATGTACATTAACTAGTACACCCGTGACTATGCTGCTAAAGCATTTGGATTTATACAATTATAATAGTCCCACTCTTCTTACTCTATTATTTACTCCGTATATTATTTACCAATTGATTTCACTTTTGACGGTTTACAAACTAAATTAAAAAAAAAAACGCAGAGCCCGTAAGCATATGCATACATATATACATACATATATTGTCATGAGCGAGCATGTACTCTCAATAAACAAGAGTCTGATTATAGCTTAGTGGAGCCCATATAGGCATGTGATCTTAATTAATAGCATGTACATATGTCTGTGAACTCATTATTTCTTCTGCTATCTTATCTCATTTTATGAGCCTGAGCTTCTTTTCTCTTTTAT